CCAAGACCTCGCATTCGAGTTCTTCCTGAACAAAACAACACGGATATACGCTCGGGGGCTCAACCAGCATCATAGCTTAATCAACACTAAGCTAGGGAATTCGGCCTTCATTTCAACTACTCCCGGGGGCTCAGAACCAAAGACAAAAGACAAAAAGTACAAGAAACTCAAGACTACAACGACGACGACGCATCAAGACTCTTCAACCGACTTCTTTTTCAAAAGAAAAGAACTCGGAGAAAGCACGAGGCTGCGGGATACATAGCCCCAGAATTTTTTGAAGACAGGAATCTGGACCCTTCAACTTTTGCAAGCAAAAGCAAGAGGCTCGGGGGCTACAATCAGTGAGTGCAATTTTGAAAAATTGCACCCACCAAAAAAGAACCCGGACATAGGCTCGGAGGCTGCACGCCGCGAAACTACTCGGATGATGGTTTAATCCAAGACTAAAGGACCGCTTCGGAAAAATACCACAAAAACTACTCGGATGATGGTTTAATCCAAGACTAAAGGACCGCTTCGGAAAGGTACCACAAAAACTACTCGGATGATGACAAAATTCAAGTCTCGGGGACTACTTCAGAGCACAGATTTTCAAACAAACATAAAGGATCAAGACCCTCCAACTTTTTGTTCCAAATAGCAAGAGGCTTGGGGGCTACACTCAGTGAGTGCACTTTTTCTCCGAAAAAGAGCACGTCACCAAAAGACTTCCTCAACGCAGACTACTTCAAGACATTATGACAAAAAAAACCCGGAACGAGCCATATTCGAGTTCTTTTTGACAAAACTTCAGCGAACAAACAGAGCAACTTTAAGAAAAGATCCTCCAGCTCCTTGTTCCAAATAGCAAGAGGCTCGGGGGCTACAACCAGATGGATGTACTTTTTCTTCACAAAACACTCACCACTCGAAGGTCCCAAGAAGCGCTACAATGTTTCACTCCAGAAAGCACTCGGATAACATCTTGTTCCTACCTAACAAGACCTGAAGGAGCAAAGCGAGACTTTCAGAGCTCAACCATGAAGTGCTCGGGGGCTTGTCGATGTGGGACCTACAGGATACCCCGCAAGAGAGATAAAAGATCTAGTTCAACTAGGATTCTTCCCATGTAATCTTAAATAGAAGAACTATTAAGTAATCCTACTAGGAAATCTCATTGTAAACCGACTAGGACTCTGGCCTCCTGATAATATAAAGGAGGGCTGGGCTCCTGAAAGAGAGGACAACAATTGTACAACATAACACTTCATAATCAATCCAACGCAAAAGGCAAAACGCCGACTGGACGTAGGGTCGTTACTCGATCTACGATCGAGGGCCTGAACCAGGATAAATCGACTGTCTCTTGCGTTTACCATCGAGTTCAGCATACGCCGAAGCCCGAACGATACTGCCACGGTACCCCTGTGGCAGGCTATCGGTGGTAAAACATCGACAGTCAGGAGGCACCTTTAGTCCCGGTTGGTGTTACCCACCGGGACTAAAGGACCCCCCTTTAGTCCCGGATGCTTGCTCCCGGGTGGGGAACCGGGACTAGAGGAGGTTCCCCACCGGGAGTAAAGCTCGGTTCTCTACCAGTGAGACTTCACGGAATCAACAGAGAATCACTTCTCTCTGAAAAATTGTTTGGGAGAGCTATTGCCGGATTGAGCATAGAATCCTCTCTAGGAGCTTTACCAAAGAGACCTCAGCATGCAAGGTTAGAGCAGCTCCAACACAGTGGCTATCTGTGTTGTGGAACCTTATTTTAGGTATTTTCGCAAGAATTGAAAGTCCAACAGCTATTCTATCCTGCGATCCAAAATAACCAGCCTGCTATCCCGTGTTTGTTCGCTGGTAAAGAAAGCAAGCCGTAGAGGCTCGCCATCAGCCTATCCGCGCCTATTCCTGCATGGCGCTCGCGCTGGTGGCATGCAAGCAGATTGCGGGAGCACAGAAACCAGGGAAGTTAGCCAATCTGAGCATGATAGGTGTGGGTTTTAAAAATAGACGATGGGAATTTTGAAAGGCTGTTGCATTACTCTGTGTTTTTTAAGAATGTTTTATTTTGGACAATGGCTAAATCAATGGTTTAAGAATTTAGTTTTACATAATCTCTTGGAGCTGCTCTTAGGCAACCAAGATAGGACGGCTAGAGTAAGCGGTTAGGGTAGGGTTCCTAGTGGGATGCACTAGCAGTCAGAGGGGTGCCTCACCGTGGCCAAGCAGACGGAGGGATGCGACGCAGATTCGTGTGACCGGATGGACATGTTACCGGAGTCATGCAGATAGAGGTCAGGCAATCGAAGAGGGCACCACCACACAACGGTCGGTAAGCCAAACTCAACAGTTCACGACAACACACGCACATGCGGTCCATAACCTAGATCTTCGTTGAGACCCCAATTCCGGTGAGAAAAAACAGTTAGCGAGGGTATGGACGGGGTTGGTGCTTGATTCCTATCAACGGGGTTGTGAGGAACGACCGGTGGCAGTGAAGGCGGTAGTGCGGCACGTGAACGAGAGGAAGGCTGAGCCTCGGGGCACGGGTGCTAAATTAAAAGTAAAACGATACGAACAAAAAAGTAGGGGGCATGAGTGACCTAGGAATGAGGTGTTGAGGGAGAAAGCAGAAAGCCTTCTACTTCTAAGGCGTGTTTGATTTAAGGGCTAACCACCCATATGGATTCGTGATAAGACTTTTCATGCTACTTGTTCAGTTGGATGAATTGGACGCTTCTACTCTCTTTATTTGGTTGGTTGGATATAGGAGTGAATGGGATAAGAATAATTGACTAATTATATCTTTTATTTTAAAAATAATAGTAATCAACGAATATGTACGAATATTAATTTGCCATGATTATTACTAATTAAAAATAAAATATGATAATTAGCACTACTGCTACCTAATTGGCACACAAATCATGCTCTAATCAATATATTAGCAGTTATCAGAACTAATATTAGCATCATAATTATTGAGTAGTAATATAACATACTAATAGAGAATGTTTATTCACTAATGATGAAGATCATGAAATATGGATGAGCCCATCCCGTAGATTGTCAGAGGCATGCTCCTTCAGCATCTTCAAGCAGTATTCTTTTTTTTGGTGATTATAGCAAAGCCTTGTTTAGATTGCAAGTTTTTTCACTCTTTCTCCATCACATCAAATCTTTGGACACATGCATGAAGTATTAAATGTAGATAAAAAAAATAACTAATTACACAGTTTGATTGTAAATTACGAGACGAATCTTTTAAGTCTAGTTAGATCATAATTGAACAATAATTGTCAAATACAAACGAAAATGCTAAAGTGGTAAATACTGATTTCTAACCTCAATTTAAACGAGGCCCAAATATGTTCCTCCACCAAACACCCTTAGGTGTCCAAATAGTGGACTTGCTGGAGTGCGTTTTTGCCTTTGGTGTTAAAAATAGACTTAAGCAGCATGACTGCTCACTGCTGGAGTTGCTCCAACCTGTGACTAAATGACAGTGGACAGTTTGATCCGTGAACGTACGTCTACATGGCTTTTCAGGTTCAAATGCATGATCATGTACAGACACACTGGCGTGCGGCCCAAGAGCTGCAAACTGCAAACACGTCTCAGAGATGGCCGATGGCCGTACTCAGCAGTTTTTGATACTAGTATACACTGTTAACATTATGCCTGTTTTATCTGCTCATGACGCGACAAAATCTGTGGACACTTGTATTGAATTGTCATGAGGACGATGGTCACGCCCCCATCAGATGATCTGATTGGGATTCGCCGCATGCATGGGACCTACGAGATTAGTGGATATACAGGAAGCAGTTTAAATACTCGAGTCAGGAATGAGACCTGTGACACCTCTGAAGCTTGTTTATATCAGATGTATTATTCGCCCATGCATGGGATACTAGATTAGTGGATATACAGGAAGCAGTGTGAGTCAGGAATGAGACTTGTGTTTAGCTTGTTTATATAAACTTTTAGATACTAGATTACCGGTACTAAGTGTACATCTCTTTAATCCCAAAATTTTTCAAGATTTCCGTCACATTGAATGAACCATTAAATATAAATGAATATTAAATAAAAAATAAAACTAATTACATAGTTTAGACGAAATTCACGAGACGAATTTTTAAACTTAATTACACTATGATTGAACACTAATTATCAAATAACAACCAAAGTACTACAATACCATTTTTAAAAAAATTTGCCAACTAAACCACCCCTGTGTATACTAATACTACGATCCCATGTGCGCCTTGGCGCTAGGATATGAGCCTACACGCCTTGCAGGCTTGCAGCGCATGGCCATGGCTTCTGGCTCGGCTCTCCCAATATGGACAAGCACCTCGGAACTCGCAGCTAACCGCTCTATCCGAAGGAAAAAGGAACCATCGGATCACGGTCACTGGAGCAAACAATTCCGCTTCCTCCGATCCCGATCTCACTAGCACTCAAGGCAGCAGCAACCGCCGATCTTGCATCCTCGCCGCTCCAGAGGGACCATTGCGGTGCCTAGTGTATGATTGCACATGCGAGCAGGCATGCGTGGCGAGTATTATTCACCAGTGGTTCCCGTGTATCTATCAAACAATCGCGGCCAAGGATACAGTCCACTCGACTGGCTCGCCTGTTAATGGGGACAAATCGAAGCGATGGCCGACCGGCCGATTCAGTTCAATACAGTGCTTCCGTTCTACTGTTCACGGGTTCGACGTCTTCGAAACAGTGCCTCAAACTGGCGTCCCTTTGGATTTTTTACGGTAGATACCGTAGGACTTTCACATGTACCCATTCAATTCCGAAGGTCTGAAGAACCAGCCTTTTAGCCCACCTGCATCGTCGTCGCTTTATATTAACCAGCTCACGAGGACTACGAGACAAACGGCCCAGCATATAAGGTCCCCGCCGGCCGGTGGACACCGTCCAAGACTCCTGTGAACCGCGAGCGCGACACGAGCGCACACGTACACGTACCTACACTCTACGCCGCGAGAGCGCGAGGGATGAGCCCCGGCGCCGGTACTACTGCCAAGAAGCGTCTCGGCATCGGCGCCGTCGCCGCCGGCGGGTTCGCGCTCGGGTGCGGCTGCAGGGACGCCAAGGCCGTGGCGGTGGCGGTGGCGGTGGCGGCGCCCGCGTCGCCCTACTCCGCCGCCACGGAGACGACGACGACGTCCACGGCGACGACCGCAACGTGGCGCGGGGCGAGGACGACGACGACGACGCACCCGTCGTCGACGGCGTCCGGGTCTACGGGCACGCTCACCGTGCCCTCCGCGTCGTCGTCGTCCTTCCCGTGGGAGGACGCGGACGCCGAGGGTGACGGCGAGGAGGTGAACTGCAAGAGGGAGATCTCGGCGGCCATGGTGAGCTTCTCCGGCCTGCTGCGCCAGCTCAACGAGCTCGAGCAGAGCGTCGTGTCGTGGGGGCGGAAGAGCACCAGCAAAGATTACTTGTCGCCACCTCCGCCGCCGTTACCAGCGCGGCCAGTGAAGCAACGAGCTGTGCACAGCGGTGGCGGCGACAGCAAAGAAGGTCACGGCAACTTCTCTCCGCCGCCGCCGCCGCCGACGACTTCTTTCCAGTTTCAGATTACGCAGCAGCAGCACCGGAAGACAAAGAGCATGGACAAAGCAGACAGACAAGTTGAAGTGGTCCACTCCAAACACCCACCACCGCCGCCTCCACCTCCACCATTGCCATTGCCGAAGGCGGAGCAGCTTAAGGTGAAGAGCGCGGACGACAAAGGCGGCAAGAAGAAAGAAGACGCCAACATGTTCCCGACACCGCAGGCCCCGAACCACCGGAAAGCCAAGAACTGCGACGCTGGCACCGGCCCCGCGAGGCTCGACGGGAGCGTGGGCGTGGCGGTGGTGAAGCAGTCCGACGACCCGCTGAGCGACTTCCGGCGCTCCATGGTGAACATGATCGTGGAGAACCGGATCGTGACGGGCGACGAGCTCCGCGAGCTGCTCCGCCACTTCCTGGCGCTGAACGCGCCGCACCACCACAACGCCATCCTCCGGGCCTTCACCGAGATCTGGGACGAGGCGTTCTCCGCCAAGACGACGGCCCACGGCCGCCGCGATCCCGCCGCCGCCAGGTCGACGACGACGACGGCGACGGCGACTCCGCCGCGGCCGCGGCCCAGGGCACCGACGCCACCGCGCCGCCGGCACGCCCCGCCTCCGCGGGCGTGGCGCTAACGCGTAGTACGTGGTCACCGGTCACCACTTACTTGTTACTACTAGCAGTACAAACAATGTAGCTGGCTTGCATGCGTGCTGCTTAGCTCGATTGCTCGCAATGTCATTTGGCCGCCGTACCGCGAATCTAATCTACCGCATGCAGTAATGCAGATGTTCTCCGGATCTGTCTGTTAATGCTTTCGAGCTTGGAGTTCTGTTCGACTCCAATATTCTCGAACCATACGACTATACGAGACAGACGAGCGATCTCGTGAACGGCAGTGTCGTTTTATTCCGAGCGCGCAAGGGGGCACGAGTCAAGCCGACACGCGAGAGGGGCCTTCGCCGTAAAACCCGTGGCCGCTTGCGGGAAAACTGCAATGCAGGCAGGCCGGAGGCCAGGCGGAAAGGCGCTTCGATCGGCGGCGTCGCTGCGAGCCTGCGAGAGGGAGGGCGACGGTGGTTGGATGGCTGGCAGTGGAGGGCCCGTGCATTGAGTTATATGGTGGTGGCGACGGTGCAGTGCAGTGGTGGTGGGCTTGTCACTTCACTTGTGGGTTGAAGTGACGCACGGGAGGCGGGACCCAGCAGGAGGCGTCGCGATGCCAATTGCCAAAGGAGAGGCAGCATGAGCCATCAATGCGCAGCCTGTCTGGCGTCCTTCTCTGCATCTGCGCTTACCGTCCTGCAAATGACAGGGGTTCACGGCCGCATCCGCATCCGCATCCGCGTCCACAGGTTGATGTTTCATGAATTTCTCGGCCTAATTTCGTTGACTAGTGTAGGTGTGGAGCTAATGCACTCCCAATGTTACTGTACTACAAGTACTGTAGTACTATGATTGTATGAACACAAAGCCATGGAAGTGGGGGTGCGCTGGCTAGAAAACGAGACGTGGGCGTGGGAACTGAGAAATATGCCAGGATTCCAGGACTGGAGTGCACTGGAGCCTGAAAGACTGAAAGGTACAGTAGTTGATTTGCAACCGACGCAAATACTACGAGGGACCCGTCGACCTGAGAGGCGTATGGGCCACGGCCCAGGGGAACAGACGCTGCGGGGCCGGTCTGTTGGGGCTGGAAGATTGAGCCCGTCTCGTCCACGGCTCCAATTTTCGTTCGCCGCCACGACTGATGCTAGATTCTGCTATTCGGCTTGAGCCCAGTACAGTGGTCGTGCTCGTGCCAACGTGTGTTTCGCTGCGGTTTCTGTCCTTGCAGTTGCAGGGTCATGGGAGCCGCTGCTGCCTGTACCTAAGGCCCCGTTTAGATGCAACCCAAAACCTAAAAATTTTCAAAATTTTCCATCACATCGAATCTTGCGACACATGCATGGAGTACTAAATATACGAAAAAAAAACTAATTACACAGTTAGTCGAGAAATCGTGAGACGAATCTTTTAAGCCTAAATAGTCCATAATTGAATAATTTTTATCAAATACAAACGAAAATGCTATAGTAGCCAAAAGCTAAAAATTTTCGGAACTGAACGGGGCCTAATACGAAAACTTGCCGGACATGCCAGGTGCCACATGTTACTACTACTGCACAACAACGTGTGCACTGCCGGCTACGGGCATGTTTGTTTCCGCTTCTTCTAGCCACGCTCGATTATAATCTAAGCGAAGATTTTCTCGCTTCTCGCTTTTCGCTTCTTATAGTTCAAATCTCTGAAGCGGCTTATCACATAAGCGAGAATCGATGGAAATAAGCAAAGCGTTTGGCGGAATTCTCGCTTATTTCCACCGACAAGCCACTTATAAGCGGAAACAAACAGGGCCACCTCTCAGACAGAATAATCGAATCATTGATCATTCCTTGTTCAAGTACCCCCCTTGGTTTTTAAATGTACATGACGTCATATATTAATAAATGGACTACTATGTCCTAATAATGTACTCCCTCTATCCCAGATTATCTGTCGCTTTTGGTTTTCGTGCCACAAGTTTGACTCAATTTATAGAAAATACGTGTAACATTTGTATTTCCAAATAAATTTATTAAAAAAACTAGATTCAAATATTTTTTCTAATGATACCAATTATGTATCATAAATATTAATATTTTTTAATATATATTTCGTCAAATTTATTTCTCGGGAAGCAAAAACAACAGATATTTTAGGACGAGGGCGTAGGTACATCATCGCGCAATGCCAACGATCATCAGATGCAAAGCTAGGAGAGCAAGCCAAGCGAATCGACACGACCCGATGGCGACAACACACAAGGTACAAAGCCACCAGATAAGCGCTATGTTTGTTTGGGCTAGTTTGGCTTATAAGTCATGGCTGAAAGTACTGTTGTCGGGTTTAGTGTGAGAAAAAAAAACTATTCGTTGACAGATAAGTCATGGTATATAAGCCAAATACGACCGATCGAACAGGCTGAAGATGAACGACAATGGGCAACAAACTATACATCTATCGACTTCGACATGTCCTTCCCATACCTGCCTGCTGCCTAATCAAGTAGACAAGTAATCATGCTGGTTGAAACAGCCAAATGGCAGATTACTTCGTACCAAGTTCTCGATTCTGGTTCATACTTCGTACCAAGTTTTCGATTCTGGTTGGAGACCAATGCAATGATGCGTCGGATGCGAGAGTAGATGATAGTCGTTGCAGGATTCATGTCCATCCTCCACCGCCAACAAAATAGATGTACACGTACCCTGTCGAGCGACTTGTGGAGACAGCAAAAGCCAACCAAACGTTCCTGTACTTTGCACCGACGAACGTCAGGCAACAACAGGCTGAGATCGTTCGTCCACCAACACAGCCCACGAAAAACGTTGCAATCAGCACATTGGCTGCTGAAAACATTGAACAAACTTATGATTAGCAACTATAATACAGAACACTAAATGCTCTTTGTTACAACTACAGCGAAAGGAAGGTGCACCGACAGCTGATCCAAAGTTCTATACGTCTACAACTAATTAACATAGCAGGCCGTATATGGTTACACGTGGCCACGGGCCGAAGAGTGGTGAGCAGGGGCTGGGATGCGCTCGCCGCTACTGCTACCCGAAGCATGGAGCCTCTCCTAAGCCCTTCCCTCTTCCCCCTCCTCTGAATTGGTAACCCATAAGAGCTTGAAAGGAGGGGCTAGAGATGGAAAATAATAGGAGAAGCCTCCCTTAACTTACTTTCCTAGATCCGTCACTGGTGATCTGAGCTATTGCTAATGTGTTTCATTAAGTCTTGCAGCCACGTTGTGCAGGATGATAGGTGATACCGGAGTCTTCTTATCAAGCTGTTGTCATCGATCTCGTGTAGGTGTAATAGTGTTGTTGTGGTTGTCAGTATATATCGTCGTTGTCTCCCATCCGTGCACTAACCGTCCACGATGAGGGGAAGACAATCGTCATGTCGCTTGTCTCGTTGCTTACGGTTTTGACTTGCGCACCCACAACCTTAGGAAGCATCGAGCGTGCTTCACTGTGTGGACACCTGGTGGGATCCTTCGGTAGGGCTCCGAGTGTCCAAGTAGTGAATGAGGTCTTTCAAGAGTTCCGATTCCATATGGAGGGGGGTATTTGTCAATGGGGATCTAGCATAAAACCGACATGTCGCCTCGTAGTCATAATTACACTGTAGGTCTCTAAACTATTACGTGATTTTCACCTATGACACTAAACTATGAAATTATAAACCTGACTCACTAATTTATTGAATTACTCTAATCTTGTAAGCTCCCTATCATGTGAGTAGGAGATCATAGATAATTGCCACTAGAAGTGTAGCGGAAGAAGTATTGGAGTAGCCTGGTCCAACGCGTGTAAATCGATGTAGAGGTAGCAAGTGTTCATCCTCGCGTCCTAGCAGCCTCACATGCACAAGCCTTGCCTTTATCACCGATCAACTTCAAAATTGACTAGATTTGTAGAAACAATATATGTTACTATTTGTATGTCCAGATAGATTTATTATAAAAATATATTAAAATAATTAATCTAATGGTACTTATTTAGTATCATAGATATTAATATTTTAATATATTTAGTCAAATTTGAGATTTACTAGGTAAATATCTGTGCGTTGTAGCGGGAAGAAAAAAAACATCAAGAGTCTGTGATCAACAATTTTTGTTTTGTTCCGGCTTATGTGATCAATATTTTTTTAGCTTATGTGACACCATATTTTTGTTTGCCCATGCATCGATTCGGGGAAAACAAATCGTAATCATCATTCTTCATCACAGGAAATATTTTGTTTGGACATGTAGCAATGGAGACACACTTTGCCTTCAACATAAGTAGAAATTATTTTCAAACAAGGGACTATGTACTGGGCAATTCGGATGACTACCACCTCATTTCCCAAAGGATCCGAGTAACAAGCAGTGCAACTTCGTCGTCTCTCTCTTGCCCTCAACATTCATCCCTCGCCACCACCCTGGTGCCGGTCTGCTTGAGGCCTTATTTGGATGCATGTGTATCTACTTCAATCCACATGTATTGAGGTAGAATAAAATGGAATTTAGTTTAATTCCACTCCAATCCACTTTAATGCATGTGGATTGAGATAAATACATGCGCATCCAAACAAGGCTGCTAGTGTGCCACCAGCAACAACCTTCTCACAGCCACCTCTCACCTCGAGTATCTCCGTTGGTGTCCTAGCCCCGATCGTTGAGAGGAAAAACAACAGTAGTCAGACCTAGAAGAGATTGACCCCAGCACATTTAGTGAGATTCATTTGTTAGCAAACTAACAATAGTCAGACCTGAAAGAGATTGAACCCTCCACATTTAGTGAGATTCATTTGTTAGCTAACAATACAAGTTTAACTGAGATAACTTGGGTTTTACCATTGAAATATCAGGACCATGTGACTCTTAGGCTTCATGAAGAATCACACAATTGGCTTCAGCCCAATGGTCCGTAAGACGAAAGAACATAATCTGACAAAATTTCAAACAGCGGTGGTCATCAGTAAACGAGGCTAGATTGAAGTTAGAACAAATTAATAGGAGCAGTCATCCAGAACTGATTACTTAGTCAAGAAACTAATTACTTAGTGAGTCAAGAAACAGATAGAATAAGTTCCAAACACTCAGGTTAGAAAGCTGTCTTCAATTGAGGATCAGACAAACACTCACAACTAGGTAACGGTTCTCATAAAAGAAAATGGATTACCCTAACAAACTAAAAGACAATTACTGGGAGAGAGAGGACATGTTCACCCAAAGACCACAGAACCAAACATCTAATCTAAATATCTTAATTTAAAAGATATATGCTTACTAATGGATATATTTGGCTCAGTATGTTCAGGCAATCAACGTGTAATAATCTTAGGTCCTCACATGTTTCATTTGGATCATTTATCAGGCATTCATTTTGTTTACTGTAATAAAATTGATCAGACTTTCTAGAGCATGCTTCACTATGCAACAATAATATAGAACTAAGGCAGCAACAACTGAAGAGATAAGGAAACAAACGTTCAAAGATTATTATGGCCAAGAACGAAGAACTAACTGGAGAAAGATCACCTTTTCAGAATTCCGAAGAAATGGCACATAAGGTCTGGCATCCCCTCGAGTATGCAACGTGCCTACCGCCACCACTGCCCTTCAATTGGGGGATGCCCAAGATGGGCGCTGCAATATCCAGTTTAGAACCCAGAAGGTTTTGAGAAATTTTGCAACACTTCAAAGAATATAGTTCAATTTCAGTAGAAGTCTGAATGAACCTGCAGGGTCCCTCAGCGCTGCGGCGCCACACACATTCAAAGATGCCCAATGGTGACCAGAACATTCACCCAAGAGAAAATGGATAGGCCATCTTTTTTAGCTTTCTATTTATGATTCTTGCAAAGCTTTCTATTTATGATTCCTGCAAAGATGTCTCAAAGAAAAGGTGATCTTTCTCCAGTTATGTATGTTAATTATTTTTCTTATCTCAGGGAAAGTTTTTTGTGTTATGTATGTTAATTATCTTTTTTAGCTTTCTATTTATGATTCCTGCAAAGATGTCTCGAAGAAAAGAAAAATAATTAATGCCTTTTCTTTCTTCAGGACCTCAAAAGGGATTAGGTGTAAAAACTATCCCTAAGATAAGAAAAATAATTAACATACATAACCCAAAAAAATGTGATGTTTTTTTTTTCTGTCAGACAAAATACATGCCTCAGCAACAAATTTAGTCGAGGATCAAGCATAAAGAAGGCATTAGGCCAATTTTTGTTTGCTTCAGCACACATAACCCGTCTCTCGTAATTCACGCTACTGTATAATGTTTTTACATTGTGGGGTATGATTCCAGCAAAACCATCATGTCAAGGGATATAGATTAACCCTATAGCCAAACCAAGTTATTAGCACAAATCAGTCTGACAAATCAAGATAAGTGCTAGTGGTTGAACATGCAGTCTCCTGACAGCTATTCTTTTTTAGTTATGGAAGCTTCTATGATTATGACAAGTGGCACACAGTCACGCACAGATTTTGAAGATTTTACTACCTAACAACTACTCCCTCCATCCCAAAAAAAAGTGATGTTTTAGGATTTTTCACACAGATTAGTGGAGAAGAGAAATGTCCCTAATACCCTTAGTATATCACACATGATTTTCTTAAAAGAAGGATGTCGTGTGGTTTACTTTCTAATTAAGACGCGTTGCATGTAAGCATGCAGAGATCCGAGGCAGCCGACACATTTCAATTGATAATCTAGCGCCGGATCTGTGGGCCAACAACATGTCTAAAACTTAGAACATCGATCTGTGGGCCAACAACATGTCTAAAACTTAGAACATCATTTTTCTTAGATAAATTTTAAATCACATAACATCACTTTTTTTTGCGGAGGGAGTAATACTTTTGCGATTGAAAATCGTGCTGTCTGCTTAGTTTTCTGGATCCTAAATAAATGCACCTGCATTGGAACCAGAGAAATAACATCAATTGATCATTCGATTGGCTCTCTGCGCTTCTTCACAAGCTTTTTTTATTGGTATAAGTGTTGCTTTAATTAGATGAGGTTTCCTAGGAAGTAAAAGGACACTCTTTGTGGGACAAATTTTAGAGTCTAAATGGACACTCTTCGCGGGATGGAGGAAGTACTCCGTAGTAAATTGCAGGACAAATGCGCAATATGAATGTTCGCGAACGAATACCACAAGACTTTTTGCTAGTATCTTGGTACCCACTTTCCGACATGAATAGTTAAGTTGATAAAAACGACATGAATAGATAAAAACAAAAAAGGAAATAGATAACATGATTTGACAAACGTACACAAAGTTCCAGATTTGGCCATGCTACTACTACGTCACACCTTCACTTATTTCATAGTGATCTTCGCGTCTCAGTTCAGTTCCAGATTTGGCCCTGCGACTACTACATCACCCCTTCACTTATTTCATAGTCATCTTGGCGCCTCAGTTCGTGATACGGTGTATCAAATTTCCGGATCGAAGGCGATGCTCACTTCAACTTGATCATCATCAACTTCTCTTTCTTGACTCCTAATTCCACGAGTGAATGTTAGACTGAATTTCAAATTCTTGTACTCTTCTTGGTTGTCAAAGATTGTGATTACTATTAGGTCTACCTCTATGTGGAGTTCTAGCTGCCGACGATATGGCAAGGCAATCACAGCCGAACTCAGTGGAAGAATCGACGTGGGGCCAGAGGGAACAGACCAACTCCTCCCTCTTTCACGGCTAAAGAGGTGCACGCTTTTGTTCCCATAGTCAGCCGTGCTCGCCTTCATTTTACCATACACTGCGCGGCTTCTAGAACCGAAGTCTTTGAGCTTCAACTTGACCTAAACATTGGTCTCAATGGCGTTGGGAATCACCAAGTATGTGATCTCCAACTTGCGGCCAGGGCCTCTGCAGCAGATGGTTTGTGTGTATTCCTCCGGTTCTTTGTCATCATCTTCACCACAAACATCCCATTCCACTCTGATGGGAGCACCACAAACATCAGAGTCCTTTCTGATGGGTGAACGAACCCTACTAGACCCTTCATTGCCAGTTGTAGTAGTGTTGCCGGCTCTAGTAATGGAATGGAAAACTTCCAAGGTGAAGGCGCCGTAAGCCATGAGAACACCACAGGGTCCAATAGGGACCAAATCGACCATTCCTTCCTGCAAGCTTGAATGTGAAGGGTTTTAATTTATTATAGCATATATCAGAGACATGAAACATATATAAGACAATTAATTAGTAGATAATATAAGGTAGCTAGTATATACCTCTTGTACTTCCCTCTCGTGCTGCCTGTAGATGCACCTAGTTGCCAGTCGTAGCCGTTGATAGCGCAAATACGGAAGTTTGCACGAATGGCCAACAGCTTCACCGTGCGTCGGCCAAATGGCACAATGTCATCGTCGCTATCCTCCGAGGCTGCTCCACGATCATCCTGGTCACCATCATCCTCCTCCAAGGTGGCTGCAGCATCTTCCTCGCCACCGTAGCCATGATCCTCCAAGGGGGCTGTGGCATCTTCTGATGTAGACTAGACCCGATCTTTCGAAAGGTATGATAGCATCGATTGGTGGAGACTCGACGTTCACGATCTAGGTTTCGAACCAAGACTGATTCGGACCCCCGCAACCGTTACACCACTGCTCCGTTGGTTATCAACTACGCGAACGCGATTGACCTCACCGAGAAGGCTTTCCTGCAAGCGAATCGAGAACACAAGCAAGAACAGGATGAACGCAATCTAAAATTGCAAATAAATATGAGGCTTATGATAACGAGAAGGAGTTCAAGTCTTTATTCAAAAGGACTAATTGCCACAGGCGAACAAGATCAAGAACTGGGCCCTGGTTCACAGCAAGCAGCCTTGGCGGCACAGTTGCAGCAAAACGATGTCTGTTTCACGAGGAAATCAAGAACTAAACAAAACCCAAACCCTAAGGAGAGCGGAGGCTGCTAATTATAGAGTCTTGGGTGTCACCCCCTGGACACGCCCCCTAATGGGCCCAAACACGATACACGGTCCAACGGACCAAAAGACGCGTGTCGCAGCACCCTAGCAGATTCTGGACGCTGACTTGTTTTGACGATTCCTGTTGATTTCGAAGGGCTTTTGACGTGAGACCACTTGCATTGGCTTCCTTATCGAATTAGCTTTCCATCCATATGTGGACCATCAAAAACGGATTCCGGATGCGTCCTGGGTGATCAGTTTAAGGCAGACTGGTCCTGGAACCCGAGATGGGCTCGAACTTGATTTGGGCCTCCACCTCGGTGACTCGAACCGGATGAGCTTCGGGCCTCCTTCTCGGTTAGGACACCCTCGCTGATCTCCTTGATCTCGATATGGTTCTCCAAGCATGGTCATATGTATGAAGATCATGTCCTCATCATCTTCCTCGCCACCGTAGCCATCCTCAGGGCCACCCTCGTGATCCTCTGGGGAGAGCCGCGGCATCATGCTCAACGCCGTTACCATCCTCGTTAGTAGTATGAAGAACCCACCCATCAAATTTCTTCAGTTTGGTTCCATACATGTTGTTCCAATTCCACACTTTACCCATCAGCTGATTGGTGCCGTCCTTCCAGCGAGCCAAAAAAAAAAAACAGAGATGATAATGAAATGAAAGTCGCAAATAGGATATGGCACTACAGAATACCATCAATCAAGTATTTTAGGACTGGCAATAGCTAGCATATCTACAGTACAAACAAAAATATGGCAAAGGTTTACCAAACTTATAGTCACCTTGACGACAACACAGGAGCAGCCTAGAACCTTCATCGGCTAGCCCTCAGAGGCTCATCTTGTGCTTGTAGGCTCATCTTGTGCTTGTAGCTAGTGTCTTCCCTGCATAACAAAGCAAAACAAACGAAGCAGACATTATTCCTAGATACAAGGGAACTCAGCTTTGAAAAAAACCAAACCAACAATAAAGTTACATCTCTTTTTTTTCACTTTAATAAGGTCCCAAGTGTGCAGCTGGGAAATATGATCATAAGAGGAAATCATAGTATATACATAACTGAGATTAATTCACCAATTCATGCATGAGTGATTGTAAGGCTGGGTTCATATTCAATTGCCTATCCATGAGTGGTACTGGTAGAAACATGACTTTAATTCATCGATGTAATTTAAAGTAGCTACTTATGCATGACTTTGATGCCGTCCAAGAGTACTGTTCTACAGTATTTATATAATTGCAGCATATAACTAATTGGTTCTTTTACCGTCTGGCCCAATTGTCAGTAAATACCGAAAATAAAATACAGTACAAAAAAGAAAAAATTTGCACTCAATTAGCATGGAACAAGGATGATGTGTCAAACTCAATGCAACCTTCTATATGATCCATTTAAAAGCTTACTAGAAACAAAAAAAACCTTGCTAGCTGTATTCCCAAACAAATCTAAGCAATCCACTACATTAAGCTAGTTTTCCTTTTGCCTATATATAATCATATTTGTTTGTTACTGGTAACACCAAGAGAGCCAGTATAATAGGCTAAAAAATCATTGGTGCTGCCTGCTCCATCGAAGGTGGAAAGCCCCAATGCCAACAGAACTCTAAAACCCCAAGCATCAGAAGTTCAGAAATTGGTACAGCTCACTGGATTCAAAATAGGCACGCATAGGAAAGGAATCAGCTTTCAAAATTATACATACTAAACCAAAGTGACCATATCCTGCAGGGCCCTACTCGTATTTTTATGAATTGTATCATCCTACCTGAACCTTGCTGATTTCACCTATGGTAGTAGCTTTGTAAGCCAATAGAGATGCCCTAATCACACACCCAAGTTTGTCAAATCAGTTGAGTCTTCAGATCTAAATATAGATCTAAATGTCGGTGTCGCGATCCCTGCCCCTCCTCTGAAACACAATATTTAGCTCATTTGCGACCAATCAGATCTGTAACTATGCTCCACTGATGGAAGTAGCTTTCCAGCCAAACTCCATTTACCAAGTTTAGGTTTCAGGGTTCATGATGATTCCATTGTAGTTTTGTAGGTTACTGGATCAGAAATCGGAATAGGCGGATGGTAGTTGGTAGGGGGCCATGTTAGTTTTTTTTGTCTGTTTTTAGGGGTTTGCAGATCTGATAGTGCAGTGAGTCAATGAAATACCGGCAACAAGAGGTGGCCACATGATTAATAATTGGTGCAGATCAATCTTCATCAACTAAGGGTCACAAAATTGACCACACACCTTTTTTTGAAAACACGGTTAAATTTCTTGTCATGTGTCAAAATGCCTTAAAAAAACTAAGACCATTATTTTTTTTTCAGGTTATCTAGAGAACTCGATCTTCCACCAGCTTCCAGGACTTCATATCACCATAACTCATGTAGAGGAGTGGCATATTACAGAGCACATAAACGTCAGTTTCAGTATATCCATTTTGTTTTTGCTTGAATCTGATTATTATTTAAACTCTGCTATAAATTTGACAGAACAGTCACATCTTAGGCTGAACATCATTTACTTGTGCTGTGGTTAGTAAAGGTGTATTTTAGGGCATGTCAGATAAGGTTTTTAAAAGTCACTGTTCAATCCAGCACACCTGTTCTGCAAAATTTCTATGCATGCAACTTTTGTGTATCAAATTTCCTTTGATGGTATTCCAAATATATAACTATTGTTTCCTATAATTGACAGATGAATATAGTAAACATCATATGTTGGTAAGCATATTACGGGATGAAAGTGCAGAGCCAACAACTCTTGATTTATCACTTAATTTCTCTACTGAGCAAGAGATTGATCAAGGTGGATTTGGGATGGTTTACGGCTATGACTTTACTGCAAAACTCCACATATTAGAACCTTAACCAGATTATTCCTGTCGAACTCAGTGGAAAGGCTCAGCAATCACGAGAACAAACACCTGCAGTCATTAGAATGATCCATTCAGCAATCACAAGAACAAACCTGCAGTTTTTGGCTGGTGATGCAACCGTCGGACAGGCAGAGGTGGATCGGCGGCCCGCTGGACGGCAGTGGAGACGGATCTAGTTGAGTGAGGGAGAATGGTCGTCGTGGATCTCGACTAACCTGCTGCCGCGGCGACGAGCGGCGTCTCCCCGTCTTCATTGGGCTCTGCAGCGCCGAGAGAGAAGGGATCGGCCGGTGAGGACGATGGCGGCGCCCGCGACGGCGAAGACGGTGCAGGACCCTGAGGGTGAGGGAGACGTCGGGGGCGGCGGACGAGGATGACGGTGCCCGCGCTTGGTTCGATGACGGTGGCCGAGGCACGCGCGACGGCGAGGACGGCTCTAGACTCTGGGTGACGATGGGGATCGGCGGATGCGGAGGACGGCAGGCGGCCGCGCGTGGAGCGAGTGCGCGAGCGATGGCGGCGATGGCGCGAGGTTTCCTTTTGGTTCGCGAGGCGCGAGGTTTCCTTTGCGTGCGCGAGCGATGGCGCCAGGCGAGGTTGATTCGCCGGATGAACGATTCTGTTTTGTAATTTTTATTAGTTGTAGATTGTAGATTGTAGAGTAGATGTAGAGATTAACTCCTCGAAAACAAGACGTGTACTCTTTTTTTTTATGCAGGGAGTATACTTCTACTAGATGGTATTCCAATAGACTTGTTTTCGAATAGAGATTTGCCGTGACTTTACTTCAACTCGTACTTAAAATAACATATTTTAATGTTGTTTTTTATTTATACCCTTATGTAAAATCAATGTTTATGTATTTCACATCTCAAAAGCACCATATTTCCATATACTTTATCTTACTACGTTGAAAATTCCTCGCCGGAGTCGGGAAAGGTTCAATGTTGCAGGTTCTTTCTCCGCCGCTGCCTTCGTAAGTTCACATACGCAGCGCGGGATTCTGGATTTCTGGTCACCTTAGGCGGGGGCTTGATGCTGCACGGTGCCAGCGTAGCAATCCGTCCCCAGATATCCCGAATGGTGTAGATCTGCTTCAAATTCCCTGTGCTATACTCCCCTGATAGATTTTCTTTGGCATCATCCGTCCCCTAAATTCTGCAAATTTAAAACTCGTAAAGTTGTAAGCTTATTTTTTCTTCGTCACTCTAGATCTCTTTTTTTCTAAAAAGAAAAATGTTACATGCTTCGAAGGAGGCGGACCTCCTGTCGCTAAATCTGCGTAGGAATCGGACTTGATTGCGTTTGTGTTTATATATACACATACTTGCACAGCCAAAACAGGCATTGCATCAATGACTCTGCCTGTCCAAGGTTTCCACGAAGATTAACTAGTCTGCTATTTGTTGGTGTATTTAGGCCATGGGCTTTGCCGCGAATAACAAGACTAGAGATATGAACAATCAAGATGGAAGGGTGTTGAAAACATACAAGAGGAGGGTGCGTCAGCATACAATTCCCATGATATCTGAAGAGCTTATCATTGAGATCCTTGTCCGACTACCTGTTCAAGATCTCATACGGTTCAAGTCAGTTTGCAAGGCCTGGCATGCCATTATCTCCGACCCATTCTTCGTCCGCATGCATCTGCAGCGATCAGCTCACAAGCAAGAGCAGGGGCCGTCCTTCCTGATCACTCCTCATACCCTGGACAAGGTGATTGACGGTGAGGCCTGGCCGACCACTTTCTCCAACAACATCTGCTTCTACCACTGGCAAGAGGGCCAGAAGGATGCGAGCCTGGTGCGATCCAAGGATTTCAACGGGGGGGTTGGATCGGTGTACCCTACGTCCCACTGTGACGGGCTTGTGATGATCCCTACCGACACCAAGGTATACATGCTAAACCCAGCCATAGGTGATGTCCTTGAGTTGCCTGATGGCCACAAGGATGTGGGGGCATTCCAAACTGTTGGTTTGGGCCTTGACCCACGCACTGAAAACTACAAGCGTCTGGTCGCTTGGCTTATAAGCTGTACATTTTCAGGCAACGAATAATATTTTTCTCTCGCAACAAATCAGTTAACAGTACTTTCAGCCATGGCTTATCAGCCAAGTGAACAGGGCAAAGGTTGTTCGCTCCTTTTACCGCTCTAAAGATATTTCAGAGCGAGATTACGATGCGGGCATGGAAGTGTTTACTATTGGTGGTGATGATCTAGATATGTGCTGGAGGAGCACTGTTAATGATCCACCATACCCAATTCGGCCGCAGGTCGACCCCAGATGCCTGATGGGGTCTATGTACTGGGAACTATATGAGTCTCTTCTTGAAAGCCCAACTCAAGGTTTCCTTAAATTCAGCTTAGAAGATGAAACATTCAGTTTAATACACTATCCAAGTATGCAATCAGAAAAGGATACAGCTCACTTGATTGTGCTAGGCGGAGAATTCTGCCTAGCTCAATGCCTTGCGACAGCACAAATAGTGATTTCGAGGTCATCGACGTCTCCCGTGGTCATCATTGGGCTAAAATATGTGCTATTAATCTGTTTGAGGCGTGGACGTTCCAACCTCTTTTGGGCACGCATACTGATGGTATGCTTCTTCGGAG